ATGATATCTAGCTCTCAGATCCAACTTCGAGAAGTAACGTGACCCGGCTAACTCGTCGAGCATGTCGTCGACACTAGGAATAGGAAATCGATCCTTGATAGTTGCGGCATTCAAAGCTCGATAGTCAGTACAAAACCTCCACGTGCCATCTTTCTTTTTAGCTAACAGTACCGGTGAAGAAAATGGACTCTTGCTATGCTGAATTAAACCTGATTCAAGCATCTCATCTACTTGCCTTTCAATCTCAGTTTTCTGGAAGTGATCGTACCTATAGGGATGGACGTGTACTGCATGCTGCTCAATAACCAAGGGTATACGGTGGTCGAACTCCCGGTAAGGTGGCAGGCCCTTGGGTTCGCCTAGCACTCCCTCGAATTCCTCAAGAAGCTCGCGCACATCGCCCTGCTGCTGTCCGACCTCTTCCGTGTGCGGCTCCTTACTTTCGACCACTACTGCGAATATTTGACCGCCACTTCGCCAAACTCTTTCGATACTCTTCAACCCAACTTCTTTAGTACCTTTCTCAGTGCCCGTGCTCAGGGTGACTTGCCGACCTCCAGATTTGAACTCCATAAATCCAGTTCGGTAGTCGGTGGTCACCTTGCCTAGTCTTTCGAGCCATTGGACTCCCAGTATGACATCAGGTCTAACTAGGGGTAAAGCATAGAGATCAGCTTTTACCGTGACTCCTTGGAACTTGATCGACACCTTTCGAAAAGATTCAATGCATTGCAGCCTCTCACCATTGGCTACTCGTACCTCAAAAGGCTCAATCTTCATGGTTAGTAAGTTCAACTTCTGGGACAAGTCAACATTGATAAAGTTGTGTGATGACCCGTTGTCCACGAGAACCATTACCCTACGATCCTTGACCCACGCTGGTAGTCGAATCGTCGTTGGCCCTCTAATCCCGGCCATTGCGTGCATTGATACTTCTGCTTCTTCGTCGGGCACTTCAACCTCATCCTCCTGTTGTGGTTCTTCCTCAACCTCAGATCCTTCCTCATCAGAATTAGCAACTTCGATCACAAAAGCTTGCTTACATTGATGGCCTGGTGTAAATTTCTCCTCACATTTGAAACATAGGCCCTTCTCTCATCGATGCTTGACTT